TTTTTTTCCCACTAAAATATAAACTCCATGAGAACAGAGACTGTATTTTGTATTCTCAGCGCCTAGAACAGTGCTCCTGATAACATGCATTCAATAAATATTTGTAAAATTAATGAATGAAATTTCTGCGTACTATGTTAGGTACATGCTCTCCCAGTTTTATTCTATAGTGTTTTCTGAGGAACTGAAATAAACTTCAAATCAAATTTATCAGTTTTTCCTTCATGGCTGAAGTTTTTGTTTCTTGTCTGAGAAATCCTTTCTTATTTTGTGTTACTGGTGATATCCTCCTATATTATATACTAAACATTTTATAATTTTGCCTTTCATATTTGAGTTCTTAATCCAACTGGGAGTTGTTTATTTTATAGTTCTAATTTCTCTTTATTCCATATGATCTCCCAATAATTCCAACACTACTTATTGAGAAGCCTGTCCTTACACACTGATCCACTCAGTCATACGTCGTGTCTTTCAATGCACATTTCTGCTTCTGGGCTCTACTTTATTCCAGTGATCTATTTGTCAGTCCCCATGTTAATATTATACTGTATTATTTACATTAGCTTTATAACAATAATTGATAGAGCAATTCCTCCTATCTCTTCCAGGAATGTCTCAACTACATTTGGTCCTTTTCATTTTTGAGTAACTTTAAAATCAGCTTATCAAGGTCAACAAATTGTGCTGAAATTTTGATTAGTAGACCACTGAATCTATAAATCAATTTGGGGATAATTGTCATCTTTTTAATATTGAGCCTTCTAATCCACGAACATGATTGTATCTCTCCGTTTATTTAGATTTTCCTGAATGTATCTCAATAAAGTTTTGACAATTTCCCCACAGAGGTCATATACAAGGGTACTTCAAAAAGTTCATGGAAAAATATAATTAAAAGATATTGCGAACCTATCCATGAACTTTTTGAAGTACCTTCATAAATCTTCTGTTAAATTTATTCTTAGCTTTGTGCTTTTAATGCTATTCTAAATGGCATCCTTTTAAAATTTCATTTTCTATTTGATGCTAGAGTATAGAATTTGGTATATATAAAATTTTTGTATATTAACTTTTGTATCCAGTAACATTGTAAGTTATTTCATTATTTCAAATACTTTATCCATAAACTTTTTATTTTCTACATACACAATAATGTGATCTGCCTTTAAAAAAATTACTTCTTTTTTTTTTCAAGTTTTCTAATCCTTGTATTTACTGCTACTTTTTCTTGACTTATTGTGATGGATGGGATACCTGGTACAATGTTGAATATGTCACTAGTTTTTATTGATTCTATGCTAGTTTTTTAATGCTGAAAACTCCCTAAAATAAGGAGTGTGTGTATATATTAATCTCTATATTAGCATAGGCCCTTATAAACTCAATACTTGTTGAAAGATTAAATCTAGATTAACTTTAAATGTTGTGCAGTTCAAGAGTAACATTGTAAAGAAAGCTGATGATTCAGCTAGAAATATATTCCACTGAAGAGACCTAACAAAAGTAGCTTAAATAATATGGATTTTTATTGTATCTTCCAACAAGAAAATGATAAGTGTCTGTTGGCATTGTTTCATCAGTATGAGGATGTTGGGCCAGATATA